ATCAAATAAAAACACAATCTCTTTTGCAAGTTGCAAAGTTCCTTAAAAGTTATTTCCAAAAAAATAGAATAAATCTAATTATTAGGTTAGGTTTCATACAAGCCTAGCTCAATACTGTGACCGAATCGAAACTTCTTTAGAGGAAAAAAATAAAAATCCTAAACCCCGAAACTTATCCAACTTTAGCAAAATCCGAGTAGACTCCTCTCCCAAAACTATTTCGGGGATTCAAGAGTTTCGAGGGGCCTAAATGCAATTTTAAACTCAGTACCTTCCCTATCACCCACAATGAAATTCCTTATTTGGTAATACCCTTTGGGAATAACCATTTTCATCTAAGGAAACGATTAAAATGGATTAATAATTGGTAGTGTTGGAGATAATCAAAGGATAAGATTGATTATTGTCCAACAACATATATTTTCTTCATCATTCTCTAATCTTTTTTATCGTAGGTCAAAAAGGGTGGCTTCTCTATTGGGAAGCTTTGTTCGGTTTAAAATTTTTTTTTGATCATAACTATATCAGGCCGTAGAAAAAAATGGGAATTTGTTTCAAATTTGTCTTGGCAAAGTGTTATAATGTTACACAGAGTACATGAGTTGTGAATCGAGGACCCCCCGGATTATTACAATTGATAGGCTATTATTAAGAACCTCAACAACTGTATTAATATGATTTCTTAATCCTTTAGATAAAAGTATATTGGATAATTTTTCAATGGTTACATATGAAGTTGCATGTTTTACATGGATAAAGCTAAATCGGACCATGTTTGCTTATCATCACTGATACTTAATAACCCAAAATAAATTAAAAGCATTATTTGAAGCAATTGTGTAAAAATAATAATAATAATTTTAGTAATAAGCAGAGTCTTTAGAAAATTTACTCGAAATGCAAAAGGGCGTAAAACTTTCTTAATCCTTGTTTATATCCATATCCATTCCAATTAATGGGATTGTAGCCTCCAACTATTTGATCTGAATTTTGTATTTTCCCAACTA